CTTAAAATATTTGCATATAGACATAGAGCAAAACTGTTTTTGGACTAAAACTGTAACATTTGTCATTCTTTCTTAGTTGAAGCATAAATTCAAAATGAGAAAGCATAAATTCAAGATGAGATCTTCTGTGCTGATAGACTGCCAATGGAGATATTCTGTGTTCATATAAGAAATTATCTAGGAAGGTTCAAGGAACTTGGGCAATGGAATTCATTCATGTGATTAGGGGTGTTCATCGGGTCAAACCCGGACCGGACCGGACCGGGACCGGACCGGGACTGAATAAGGGGCATTTGGTGGACCGAGGACCGGACCGATTAAGCAAAGGTCTGGACCGGGACCGGACCGAATAAATGCTACTTTTAATTTTTTTTTTAAATTTTATTTTATTTTTTAATTTAAAGTATTCAATTGAATAAAAATATTACTACAATTAATTTTTAATTGTAACATACACTAAACATTATCAAACACAATTGTTTTGAATTTGTTTTAAAAAATTTAAATAAAATATATTACGCATATCTTCCATCCGTATAACATAAAATCTGTTCATAATTTTTATTTTGCATAGGGAATATTCTTCTTCTTAGTGCATTTTTTTTGTAATATTTTTTTGAGTTCTCGATTTTTTTTGACAAAGAGATACACTTTTTACTATTTTTGTTCATGAGATTGTTTACAATGTTTGTTCTGCGGATTAGAGTTTTATTATTGATAAAATACAAATTTAAGTTATAGTATTAGTACAAATGATTGCTAATATAAAGGTAATGTTTACTTTTTCACACTTTTCATATTTAAAAAAATTAAAAATCATTACAATTGGTATCTTATTTTGAATTGAAATGTATTTAAAAAATTATATTAAATAATAAAATCAAAACATTTAAAAAAAATTAGCATTAAAGTTGAACTAATTTTAAGTATAAGAAAAAATCTTAAAAAATACAATATCATAAACTTATATAGAAAAAAATATTTTCAAAAAATTAAATCTAACCAGTTCACCGGTCCGGACCGAAACCCGGTGGACTGGACCGTACCGAACCGGACCGGAACCCGAATAAGGAAAATATGAGGACTGGAGACCGGACCGAATAAGGACCGGTCCGGACCGGTCCGGTTTGGTTTTGGCCGGGTTTCGGGTCGGTCCAGGGACCGAATAATGCACACCCCTACATGTGATGATTGGTAGTTGGGCCAGAGTGCTTCTTGAATTTTCGGTTCAATTTGCTTGGATTTATTAAGCTGAAAGCATATGTAGTTTCACTGAAAATGATACATATGATTTTTTGGCCACTTGTCATTGTAAGAGCATTCACAGCAGCGTGTCAAACGGATGCCATGCCGTGCCACATCAGCAAGTGGAGGCGTGGCGCGAGGTAATGGAGGAGCGTTCCACCCCAAGTTCCGTTCCGTCTGCGAGGCATTATTTTTACCAATAATTGATATTCTTGGAGTATTCTTTTCTTCTTTCAAAGAGAAAGAGAAGTAGTGGGCCGATCTAGGGTTTTTGGCAGGTATGTGGTTCATCTATTATTTGATGGATATTACAGATTTGTTGACATCTCATATGAAGATTTACAGAGTATTAATTTGTTTGATGCTTCAATTTTTTTGTTTCTTTAATTAGTATTTGAAATTTTTAAATTTCAATTATTATAAATTTTAATATCTGATACTATATAAAAAGGGAGAACGATTTTTTTATGATAAAATGTATAAAAGAAATAATTTTTTGTTATTAATATGAAGTATATATTAAAAAAGTGAAAAGAATACTTACTTGCCACTGCAAGATTTACCACTCAACTCATGTGCCACTGCATGACTGGACTACTTTTAATTGGTGGAAATTTATCACGTCATCGTGTGACATTTTATTTTCTCCTTGCCACTGCTCATGCTCTAAATGCTCCTGGAATTAGATTGCATAGTTTATTGCCACGTGTACGAAATCTGTAATAGCCTTTGGATCAACAATTCTGGCGGGAAAATTGAGCCATAAAATTGCAACTGATTTCCTATCAGCTTATATATATATATAGTAGATAGTAGATAGATTTGTAATTTTATAAACTGCCGATTGTGGTTTTTTTATATTTGTTTTATTCTTCGTTACTTTCTCATGTATTTTTATATACGTATGTTTACATACTTACTTTTTTAAAAATAAAAATGGATAGACTCATATTGTAAAATAAAATTGAAATGCACAAAAATATATGAACATGAAACATAAATCTTAATGTTAGGGTCAGGGGCACGCCTTTGATAGAAGTCGTTAATGAAACGGTAATCAAAGAAAACTTTGGGAAGTACATCGTCGCTATCACACTTCGTTGCCCTTCCAACACTCTCGCAAAATCAAGTGTTAAAAACTTATCACCCAAAGCCTCTTTTTATAGGTGAGGGGAGGGGAAATGGATGGTTGTTCTTTTTTTTAATATATTATGCAATTAAATATTTACCCAAATTATTACCTTCCTTAAATGATGTTCAATGTATGGGGAAGGGTTACAAACCCTTGGCATGAGAAGAGAAAGGAAAACAAAAGTTTTTTTCCTGCTCCATTGGTTAAGTACTACGTGTCTGATTTTCATAGTTTCAGTTGTCAAATATTTTTAGAAAAATATAAAATTTATACTGTTAAGTTTCATATTTCCCACACATTATTTTAATATAGTTTGTTTTTCAAGAAAAAACAAGCTCACTTGAACAAATAATATTATTCAGATGAGAGAAAACCAAAACTAATTTTATTTCTTTTACTCATCCCCTGGAATAATTTATTACGAAGTATTAAATCTTGAATTCCAAGTTGTTATTTTTAAATAAAGAATAGTGACATTTTTGAAGGAACGTTTTTTTCATACTTAAATTGTAAATCTTTTTTTTCAATTTTTTTAAAAATTTATTTTGTAGTGCTCCATAAAAAAAGTTAAAAATTCCTAGAACGGTTTTCAGGCCGCGAGGGCGTTATATGTATAGCCGAGCGAAGCTCCCTACGCCGAGCGCATCCAAATCCTCCGATTAGATAGGCCTTGTTGGGCCTCTCATTCTGTTGGGCTGGATACCCCGACCCAGTCTAGGGTATCCATCAGTGTAGTGTCTTAAGAACACATGTAAGTGTTTCAAAATAAAATATTAGTCACATATATAAGTGTGGTTAAATATATTCATTAACCACACTTATCTAAAAGTGGGACAATTGCCACATTTATAACTTATAAGTGTGGCGAACCCCGGTTTTAAGTGCGGCGAAATACTAATTTTCTGGTAGTGTTTTTTCCTTTCACTTTTCAGTTCAATTCTCCTCTAAGCAAACAAGAAAAATTGGTGTATTTTTCTCCTCATTTTCTTTTCCTTTCCCTCTGAAATTCATTGAACCAAACATAGTGTAAGAGAAAGCCATAAGGAATTGTAGTAGTGAGTTCCAAACTAGTACAAAATTGGTGTATTTAATTTTTTTGAACTTTTATTTCTATGTATTACTCATTATTGCTTCCACGTTTGTCAAATATCGACTTTATTACTAAACCTCGAAAATCTTTAAATGTCTTATTGACCCGTATAAGGCGTTGACACATCGACTAAAAACAAGTACTCCCTCCGTCCCGGAAAATATTTTTGGATTTGACTTCTTGGTGTTTGAGTTTCCAATTTTACCCTTAGGCCCCGTTTGGTACACGGAATTCAAACTATGGAATTGGAATTGAGAACTTCAATTCCAATTCTCGTGTTAGGTAGCACAAAAATTATATGGATTTGAAATTGGTAGTGCAAAAAATGAATTGGAATTGGTGAATTCAATTCTATGGAATTGAATCCCATGGAATTTTAATTCCAATTCAATTCCAATTCCATCCATTACATGTACCAAACGGACCCTTAGGGTTTTTGAAAAAAAGAGATGTTTCAAATCACGAATAATGATTAAAAGTAATATGAGATGTGATGTGGGAAAATATGTTTAAAGAGGGGTATTGTAGTCCATTTTGGAGAAATTGAAATATTTTATGGACCAGTAAGATGAGAAAGTTGAAATATTTTGTGGGACGAAGGGAGGGAGTACTTAGTACTTCCTCCATACTTAAAAGAATGCCATGAATACTATTTTGACTTCTCGATAAGTTTTGTTTGTTTAGTCGTTTTGGTTGGCTTTTTGATAAAATCAAATATTTTTGTCGCGTCTAGTTTTATAGGACTTTTGAACGATGTAATTTTCCCTTTTTATTTCTCTACCAATTTGTAAATAAAATAATTTTAAAAGAGATGATATTTTACATGTGGTTTGAAGTGTGGAAAACAATTAGTAATTTCCTAATTAAGTATATATATGTTGCAATTGTTGCAATCAAAATGCTTTTTAAAAAAGTAATTTCTTAAGTATATATTGCATGCCGCAATACTTGGAATGATAAACACAAGGTACATATACTCATTGACGTGAAATTTGCACTGAATATGACTAAAACATAAGTCACTTTTCAATGTAAGACTTAAACTTTTTATTTCTTTAATAGGACTTAATAATGACTAGTGAGAAAAATAATGTCCAAGTGATGTTGAACAATTAATTGAATAATGACTAATAGATAATGACCAATGGTCCTACATTGGGTAATAAAAAGATATGATTCTATATTGAGAAAGCCATTATGTTTTAGTGTTATTTAGATAAATTAGTCTTTATTCATTAACATAATATTAATAGTAGTAATGGTAATAATAATAATAATAATAATAATAATAATAATAATAATAATAATAATAACAACAACAACAACAATAACTATAATAATAAAGTTCACATCGACTTATAATAAATATTCTAATAACGGCATAATAATGAGAATTAGGAATGATAAACACAAGGGACACATCCATGCAGTAACAACCTAAAATTAACTAGCATAATAATAATAATAATAATAATAATAATAATAATAATAATAATAATAATAATAATAATAATGGCCTAAAATCAAATCTCCTCGGCTCCCTATTCTTTATCCCAGAGTAGCTGCCCCTTAGACCTGAGTGTGACATATAAAAAAAACATCATAATTATTTACATTGATTTTTTTTTGTAGTAAAAACATTTAAGAAATGATTAATAAGACAGTTAAGTTATGTAAGAACAAATTAAAACTTAATTAAAATCATAAAAGTCAATTAATTACGAAGTAGCTAGTTTGTAGAATTGTATAAAAAACATACCAATGCAAAGTCAACGGCTATTTTCATGCTCAGCCAACCATCTTTGAACCTCTCTCTCATCCGCTTTAGTCCAGAGGCCTTGAAGTATGGCATCCGGGTCAGGGTTGGCCATTGTCATGGGAGAAATTGGATCTTGAGTATGAGTTGGTCCCCCCCCCCTAGCTGAAGAAGTAAAAGAGTGAAGGATACCCCCAGTTCGGGGATCATGTAATGCTGCAAAAGTTATTATCTTTTTTGCCCAGAGCATGGCGTCCCTTTGGGCTATCACCGGTACTTTTTTATTGTCGTCCATCTCCACTCCAACAGCCTCGCTAAGAAGTGCATTAAAAATTTGTTCTGCATAATTAGAACCACTGCCCTCGAAAGCAGAATACAAGAACTTGAAATCAGGGTCCAAATCCGGAACACCAAACCCCACCTTGAATATGAATGGGTCTTTAGAGTTCAGCCAGCCAGCTACAGTAAAGCAAAAGGGGGGATTTCCTTTATCCTGAAATCTCTGTGAGTTGGTGAGTGCCGTAATGTGCAAACCCATCATTTCATGTATCGCTGCAGCAGTTTTGGGGCGCTCGTTTTGGGGTTTCTCGAGCTCCGCTCTGAATTGATTTCTCAACCGCTTTAGAATCCCACCGTTTGCTGCTGCGCAAAGAATGAGGACATGCATGTCCTCATCTGGAGTCCGGATGACATCATACTTTGTAAGCTTACATGCCATGGGTATGATCTGCAAATCCTCCGTAGTTTTAGTCCCCAGAGAATCACATATACCAAGTATATTGAAATTCTCTAGCAAATTGGGACGCCCCTCCGGAAGGTAAAAAAAAGCAGCAACTGTTGTTCCAATCATTATGTTAACCTAAAAAGAAACAAATAATTAGATTGCAGTTAATCGGCATATTTAGAAGAAATAATTCAAAGATCGAACTAGCTAATAAGGAAGAATGAAAACAGAAAAAAGAATTAAAAGTAACCTACAATAGCTTCTGAGGAGTATAAGAGATGGAAGGGATCAATGATGTATGTGAGTGTGAGCATTTAGAGGTATATATGGCCTTATTTAAAGGTAGAGAGCCGACGGTACGAGCTGAGTGACGTATTCAACCAACTCGGAGATATATTTCTTATAAAAATACCCATGCCTCCCAATTTGTAACTTACATTTCGAATAACATATACGGAGTAAAATATCTATCTCTTTTAAAATCATTTAATTGGTAAAAAAAAATACCCCGTTCAAAATAGATCAAGAGTTTTATAAAACAAGATGTGATAAGAATATTTTATTTTATCAAATTGTCAACCAAAATGAGTAAACCATCAAAGTTATCGAAAAGCCTAAATAGTAACCATTGCTTATATTTTGGGAGGGAGGGAGTATTTTAAGAAGAAAAAGGATTTGCAAGAAAAACAATTTTCTTATCACGTTTTTCAATGTTCAAGAAGAAAAAGTTTTCTTCCTAAAAAAATTTTCATTGTTAAGATTTGAAAATTGATATGAATATTTGAATATATAATTATGTTTCTGATATAATTTACTACCTCCGTTCCATTGTTTTTGTCCACTTTTGACTTTTGGAACTGTTCATCTAAGCACTTTGACTCATCAAATTCTCTTAATGTGTAAGTCTAAAAATAGTCATGTGTGATCTTGTTTGATTCGTCTTAACATATAGATTATTAATATATAATTTGTATAATTTTTTAATATACAAAATACAAGATAAAATGGATTAAAGAAGTGCATTGGATGGTGTGCCAAAAGGTAAGTGGACAAAGACAGTGGGACGGAGGGAGTAAAACATTTTGACAGCATGGAGGCGAGCAATATACAGTGTGACGGGTGCTATTGAAGGGGTGGAGGGTGGGGTCGAGGCGGGATGCAATGGGAGGGTTTACCGTGGATGTTAGAAGAGGTAGAAAATATTAATTTTATGAAAGGCGCATCGAAGCACCCCCGGTTCATCCAATGACATTGCTGGATAATATCATGGGAATCGTCCTGAATAAAAAAGGGTAGTTTTGGATGCTTCAAATAAAAAGAGTTCCATGCAAGGACAAAAAAATATACTACGTACTCCGTATATATATAATATTATAATTAGTCCTATTTAGTCCTAAAAGGAACAAATATTTCTGTTTCTTTTCCATCAATTCCCCTCTTTTTTCATTTCATTTTTTTGGTTCCATAGTTTATTTTTAGGTGAATTTTGTGGAGAAAAGAATATTTTCTCAAAAAAGTATTTTTAAGAGAAGTGGTTTCTAAAGAAAAGTACTCCGTATATGGTACGTTTTCCAAAATCTCCATATAGTTTACATTGTTTGATAGCAGAGATTTAGGGGGGTGTATTCAATTGAGATTGTATTGGATTTTTTTAGACTCTAAAAAGTTAGTGAATTTAGAAAGTCAATAGATTCCATGTAGAGTTTGTCCAACTTTTTTATTGATTTGAGATAGATTTCATAGAGTCCATGGATTTTTATTTTGAGGTGCATTCCCTTCTGGCAATCCGGCATATAGATTGGGAGCAAAGACTCCATGCCAGCAAAGACTCCGATCCGGCCATGACAGCTGCAAAATTTGAGAAGACGGAGGAAGAAGAAAGAAACAAGAAGCCATTAATGGAGGACATGAATTGGGAGCAAAAACTCCATGCCCTAACCCACATCATAACCAGCCCCGCGCCGTCACCGCCGCCGCTCCACTCACAGTACTTCATCGCCGCCCAAGTCCCCTGCTACCTCAACTGGCACTACCCGCCACTCCTCTACCCCAAGCCCCTCATCCACCCCAAGTGGGCCCTCTCCTTCTTCCTCAGGAACCTTTCCGTCGGCTCTGAGCGCCCGAAAAACTCGTGGAGGTCAAAATGCCCATACAATGTCCCGCCGCTGGTGGTGCTCGTCGGAGGAGTGGAGGCGGCGGCATGGGGGGATGAGGAGAAGAGGAGAAGATGATGGAGCACGAGAGGAGAAGGGTTAGGAGGAAAGCGTCTTCAAGCAGGGGATGAGAAGGAGCAAGGTATTCTCACAATTCCAGGCTCCCCGATGCAAAATCCATGGAAATCTGATGTCCTTAGAAGTAATTTGAGATAAGCATTATTTTGGGAGACAATCCAGCAAAATCTGTGGAGTATTAAAAATCATTGATTGTTGAATACCTAAAAACTTTTTAAGACTTTTTAAAATCTTTATTGAATACCTCAGAATTTTTTAAGATTTTTGGAAATCTAGATTGAATACCTCTAGATTTTGAAAGTCCAAAAAAATCCTGCAGACTCCCAATTGAATACACCCCCCTTAATTTCTTTATGAAAAAAGTTGGCATGCATGCCAACCTTAGCTTAGCTTAGTCTCTCTTCAAATTAAACAATGACAGTAGGTTTCTTTGTCGAGTGACGGATCCAAAGAAATGTTGAGCGGGGGACTCTATGGTAGATAAGACTATCTTGTATGGGAACGTGACCACAACCGACATGGTGGGATGACTCGGTGTGACACCACATCGGAGGGGCGCAACCCCCGCTCTTCACCCTCTCCTTATACCACATTGTCAAATGAGGCCGGGTTTCACACCCGTAACATTTTCCTTAAAGAATTTGAAATGATAAAATATACTCGTATGGAGTAATAAATTTCTTACTTGGTCCGTCTCTGAGTGTTTGTCCACTGTTTGTCCACTTTTGACTTTTGGAACTGTTCATTTAAGTACTTTGACTCATCAAGTTCTCAATGTGTAAGTCTAAAAATAATCATGTGCGATCTTGTTTGATTCGTCTTAACATATACGGAGTAGGTTATTAATATTAAAAAATTATAAAAATTATACTCCGTATATGTTAAGATGAATCAAACAAGATCACACATGACTATATTTAGGCTTACACATTAAAAAAATTTGATAAGTCAAAGTACTTAGATGAATAGTTCCTAAAACTGGAGGACGGGGGAGTATTTTGTTTAGGAGAATTTGTTTTGGACCAAAGGTTCAATTGTTTTTGGGAACGGATCAGGCTAGTACACCTTTTTTAGGAGGCACTATGTATTTTAATTGATTTTGAAAAACATTTGAGCACTAAGTACTATAAAATTCAAACGGACACCACATCATAGTCAAAACGTACGAAGCTCTGATCTACCTTATGCTTTTGGATGTACATTTTCTAGAAGAAGAAAAAGATTAAAGAAAGTAATAATCAACTGAGTAATTTTGCATGGCCCTATTATGTAAGTATGGGAAGGCGGGTAAGATGCATGCAGAGCCTAATGGTAGCGTGGAGTGGTGAGTAATGAATGCTTACTAAAATGACATTTTGAAATAATGGGAAAAGGTAAAAAGTAAAAAAAAAGCATGTGCTCCCTCTGTCTCCCAAAGAAATAGAGCCCAAAATTGTGATACAATTGCTGCAAGAGAAATACTCCGTGATACTCCCTTTCTCCATCAATTTATTTTCAACTCATTTTATTTACAAATTCACATATAATTAAAAAAGTTAATTACTTACTTAAAATCTATATAAAAATATATGCAAAAACAAAAAAATGGCATAAATGTTTTATTTTAAAATATGACTTTAATGTATTTATTTTCCAAATACTACGTAGGAGTTAAAATGCATTTACATTACCAAACATGGTCATATACATTACCAAAAAGTATAGTAATATGTACATGTATCATGCCACACTGCCACCACATTTATTACCACTGCACAATACGAACTCTTATTTAGAAAATAAAAACATGAAACTTATATTTTGATACTTTTTTTTATGTTTTGGTCCTATTTAGGAATATTTCTATAAAAATAAGCACATGGAGTAAAAAAAATTGACCTTGGACCAAGGGGAGTATCAAATAATTAAATATTCAAGCAATTAAAGTGGAATATTAGTATTATTATTGTTCGTATTATTATTAACACTGATTAATTGGTTATTGTTATTGGAAAATGCTTGGTTCACAAACTCAAACTTCACAAAATTCACAAATTTACCATTTAATTTATAAACTTCAATAAAAAAATTAAATTGTCTAAAGTAATTTTAAAATGAGAATTTAAACCATAAATAACAAGTTTGTGAAACTTGTCTCATTTTAAAATTACTTTAGACAATTTAATTTTTTTATTGAAGTTTATAAATTAACTGATAAATTTGTGAATTTTGTAAAATTTGAGTTTGTGAACCAAACATTTTCCTTATTGGAATTACCGTTTCACAATGATGCCGGAATCTTGGAATCAATACATCTACAGCTGTCAATGTGTGTCGGCTTTATTCGAATTTCTTTGGGTTAGTAATTGTGAACTGTGATGAGTAGTTAACGTGAGAGAGAGTATATGAGTACTTTCTTTTCCATATAATGTGACTTAGCTTGCAGTACTGATTCGATCATACGGAGTATTTACCTTTTTCTTCCTTTAATTTTTTTTCCAATGGTCCATGCAAAATTTTATTTACCTATTTACGTCAGCCTTTAGGGGGTGCAGACCTCTTTAACAAGCATTTTCATCAAAATGTATGTCTACTACCCCTGAGTACCCCTCACCTCCCGGCCCTACCTATTACTCCGAAATACTGAGTATATGAAATACGGAGTATTTTTGTTAGTGGAGTAGTATTTGATAAAGTAATATACTAATGTTATTACTAATTTTGTATATCTTTTGATTTAGCTAATTTTTAATTTAACCTATAAATTTTATATTTTAATTATATGCTATTTTTCATATAAAATAATTTAAAAATAATTTCAGTCAAATATCATAAGCTGAAAGAGGGATTTTAAATTAGAACGGATGAAGTATGACCAAATATTTTTAAATTTGCATTGCAACGCAGCTAACATTAGCTTGTTCAAGTTTAATACTCCCTCCGTTCCTAAAAGATGTTTCTACGTATTTTATTATTTGCTCATCCCATAAAACACTTTTATCCAACTTTAAATGCCAAAAAACTTTCAAAATAACTTCTATCTATAATAAAGGAAAAATGTGATAAATTTTAGACAGTTTAGATGTACGTAAAAGTATTTTATAAGGTGTACAAAAGATAAAACATGAACATCTTTTATGGAAGGAAGTATCAAGTACACATTATTATTACTCCATTAAATTAAATTAAAATCACATATACGGATCGGAGTATCATTTTATTTACGGGAATAGCAACAACAATATACGGAGTATATGTGACAGGGGAGGTGAGGGGTATACATTTTGATGAAAATGCGTGTTAAAGACGACTGAGCCCCCAAAGACCAACGTAATTAAATACGGAGTAGGTATGTAGATAGGTCAGTACTAATTAAATGGGAAGGGTGTAGATAATAGATTGGAGTAAAAAAAATTAAACCATATAGGGGTACGCAAAGTTCCTACATCTTACAATTGGAATTACTAGATCCATTCTCATATACGAGCAGAGTGACAAAGTTACATATACTAGCATCTTATGCATCGCTCAATTTAAGGTAGTTCCAAAAGTGACTATTGTACAATGAAAGAGGGAGAATAATTGGTTTCAAAGATAAGGACTCACGAAAATGAAAATAGCAGAAAAATGCTATTAGTGAAACCACATACATGATTATAAGTGAAACCCCAGAAGAGGTAACTGTCCTAGAAGAAGACTAATACTATTCTTGAAGAAAAATGAAACCCCAGAAGAGGTAAATATCCTGGAAGAGAATAATATGATTCCAGAAGAATAAGTTTCCTAAAGAAACATCGGTACCGAAAGAAAACGAGATCTCTATAAATCATGTACAAGACTGTACAAAATGGAACCAAAATGAAAAATGTGTTAATGATATTCTTGCATATGCTATGACAATGGATCAATAAAAGAGATTACATGCCTAAAACTCAAAGAAGAGTATATGTAGATAGTACATAAATGATTTGTCAAATGGCAAAAGACCCTAAAGGTCAAATATAAGTCACTCGATAAACAGAATATTTTCGGACCTGAAGTCTGAACACCCATAGACGTCAAACGGTTTAGAATGGTTGTCTGTAATAAACAGAAATAAAATGAATGAGATTGTGCGATATGAAGTACTACTTGTAAGGCAATGGTTTTTCCCTAATCCCATGAGTTGATTATGAGGAAACGTATTCTCCACTAGTGGATGCAATATCCTTTAAGAATTTTAATTGGCCTCGCAATCTTAAAAGGACTTCAAATAAATGATATAGATGTCGTTAGGAGGTAGGTACCGTCAATTTTACGAACGGGGCACCGGAGCGCTCCCAGGTCATCCCATGACATTGGTTCTCAATGTCATGGAAACCTTGCCCATAATAATAATAATAATAATAATAATAATAATAATAATAATAATAATAATAATATAATCCAAACGCTAAGTAGCTAGTATAATATAATGAGGTACATCATAATTCATAATATAATTAACGTTCATATTTCAATCATTATATACTTGGTCCGTCCCTGAGTGTTTGTCCACTTTTGACTTTTGGATATGTTTATCTAAGCACTTTGACTCATCAAATTCTCTCAATGTGTAAGTCTAAAAATAGTCATGTATGATATTGTTTGATTCGTCTTAACATATAAATTATTAATATATAATTTTTATAATTTTATAATATACAAATTACAAGATAAAATGAATTAAAGAAATGCATTGGATGGTGTGCAAAAATGAAAGTTGACAAATACTCAGGAACGGAGGGAGTATTATTTTGACTTTGGATCATTTAAAGAAGTTATATTTTGATGTTTGACCTTTCACAAATGCCACCCTCTTAGAGTTTTTTAAACTCAAATTTCACATCAATGGATAGTTAAAAATAATGATAAGAAGTAATGAAAAATAAAAAGTAAGATGAGATATTCCCTCCGTCCCTAAATATTTTTACAACATTTGCATTTTCAGCAGTGTCGGGAACTTTTGTTTATTTTGACATTTTCATTGATTATTTGATAAAATAAAATATTCTTGACACCT